CTGGTGGCCCCCACTGGAGGAGCAAGGTCACAGTGGGCCTGAGTGTTGAAATTTTCACACAGCCTCAATAGAAATCTCACACTTATTTTTACGCAATGTTTGTCAGTAAAAGCTAATTCAATAGTCTGAGGGCAAATTCTTTGAATGTACAGAAGGGATTGCAGGCAAAATGTTAGGAAGACAAAAAACTGTTGAGAACATTTTTGTTCATCTTTTTGTAGCTATATTTGTTGAATGAAAAACACCTAAATAAATAAAAAAAACACAAACACTTTCTGAATACAACAATATGAGATCAACCTTCCAGTTTCTATAAGGCAAAATCTGTATAATATTCATTAGCAAATCTGTAATATGAGCAACAGTAACTGTGGACAAAGGTTAGTGTGAGGGGCTTTTTGTGTAATAATAATAATAATAATAACGTATTACATTTTATTTATTAATAATAATAAATTAAATTAATAATATTAATAAATGAAAAATGTGCAAATAAATGTGAATGGTATTACAACTTCAGTGGAGTTGATAAATGGAGCATGACTCGACATTAGCAAATGTTGTTACACATTAAGCCCAGAGTCCTTTAAATTGCTGGAACTGGATAGGAAGGCTGTGAGAATCAGTTGTGTTCTGTTCAAACAGAATGTGTAACTGTGTATGTTGGCTTTTTTATATCAAATTCCCCATCAAGATTAAAATACCTTATTTAAGCCTGATGGATTATACTTTCTTCCTTTTTCTCCTTGTATTACAGACCTGTTGGATGACACATATTTTCACCATTGTTTCCTCAAAATCTATGACAGATTTATTCAAAGTTCCCACCTACTAGACTCGAAACAAGAATAAAAATAATACATTGATGTTTTATTTCCTAACTATGTTCAATGTAGTGTTAGGACTAATTGTTTGATTGTGACTGACATTATGTATATATAATATATACATAATATATAATATATTCATGTTTAGCGAATGATTACGGTTGGTGATGCTTTAAATCATACTGGAAACACCACAACAGCGATTAACATAATATAGAAAGATGAAATGGTTAATCACCTTACAAATAAAACTAGTTGAGAAAAAATTATCTGCACCTCCTCCAACACTCTGAAAGCACTATTCCAGTTTGGTGTCACACCTTAATGTGTATGTCTTAACTACTGAGTTATACAGATAGGTGTTTCTAATATTTAGTCTGTGGGACTGTTGTATTAGACTGCATTAATACACTGTCCACTTCATTAACATTGAAGGACAGTAGCTCTTCATCACACCTTCTGTAGCTGACACCTCCTGAAACACTGTACTAGTCATATTTCCTCTCTCCCAAAAACTGAATTGAAAGCCTGTGTAAAGCCTGAAAAGTACAAGATAGACTAAAATAGACCCTTAAAATAAAATATTATTTTTTTCCCAGCTAAATTAAGCACAGAGTACAAAAAAACTGTGAAAAGCAGAGAACAGGAGGCCCAACTTGTGTCAATCGCATTTTGGTGTCCCATGTATTTCCCCACCACTACAGTAACAAAAAAAATGGATAAATAAATGAAATATGTCCATAGTGATTAAAGAATACCTCAATGCTCCCTGTGTGAAAGGTGATGTTCAGCTGTGTGTGTCCGTCTGTCAGTGACCGCTTAGTGACTCGTGGTGGCGGTGGGCGGCGCTGTAAAGGCCTCCCCGAGCACGCCGGGTGATCTAATTACGCGCACCTCTCTACCAATTAGAGAATTACATCACACCTCTAAATGGACTCGTCCTCTCAATCATTAATGGTACGGTGTCATTCCCTCTGACAGCGTCTAGTTGCATCGCGGCAACTTGACACATGCAGACGCGTTTTCAGCGCTGCAGCGATGACACAGTTTGGAGTTAATGATAACTCGCTCAACACTGTCAGCTGTGTTTCTGCGCAAAAGAAATACATTTATTTGCAATTTATTTTTGCATTATTGTTTATTGGCATTTCTGCCTGCAAATGACGCACTGTCCCAAATAAGTTCCTGTTAAAATGACGTCAAGTCAGGCCATTCTCATACTGAAAAGAGTGGTCCCACTGTGTGTGTGTGTGTGTGTGTGTGTGTGTGTGTGTGTGTGTGTGTGTGTGTGTGTGTGTGTGTGTGGCCAGGGATCACCGGTGTTTATTCTGGTTCTTGTTTAACGCACAGAGGGGAAACGCCTGTCGATAGACTCGGTGGAAGATCATATGGCCTACAGGTACTCAGGCGTCACTTTATTGGTGTCAGAGGACGTGATCTCTGATCTGAATGAGCAACACAGACTAGTAGGCAGCCTAATGACTGAAGCGGAAAACATAAAATGGAAAATAAACTTTAACTGCACTGGTTAATGCTGTAGCCTAATGAATTTTTGGTGAATGTAGTTGTGCATTTAAAGTTACCTGCGCATTCATTGGTCTTTTTTTTTTAATTACATCTCTGTCTCTCACTTTTCATTCGCCCTGAAATAATGCTGAAATTTAGATCACATTCAAAGAGCCTCTGCTGACCCCAAAAGAAATGTTTTTTTTTTTTGTTTGTTTGTTTTTTTAAACACGTTTTTTTTATTGGATGTAGGCCTACAGAAAAAAAATCAAGTGATCTTTTTTCATTATGTTAAATTTCTAAAAAAAAAATATATATATATACATATATATATATATTATTATTATTATTATTATTATTATTTGACTGGTCAAAAGCTGAGATTTGGGGAAAAAAACTATAATAAGAAGAATGACATATTTTAAGTTAATTTCCATCAGTTGATGAATTGCATACAGTATCCATGCTGGAAATTAGGTGTTGGGGGAAACAATGATTTTCAGCAAGAGGAGAGTTAATAGGTCTGCATTCTTGTCTGTAAACGCCATTGTTATTCGTCTCTTATCTCTGTTATCTTAATCTGCTCGCAATGTTTACCTATCTTATTTGAAATAGCTCAATTGTCTCAACACGTCTATTATCTGTCTTTTGTCATTCAAACTTCCGATGAAGACGCTGTCCACTGCGCGAGGAACGAAAAAAAAGACATTTGTGTTGATTTTTTTTCTTTCTTTTTTCATCAATCACCTGGTGTATTATTGAGTCCAGCTTTGTTAAAATACAGCAGATGGAAGGAAATCGGCGCAGCAGGATAATTCAATTTTCTCCCATGAAAATCATGATAATTAATTATTAAGATTTTGCCTTTTTTTGGTTTTTTATTTGAAATTCATCAAAGCCAATAAAAGTATAGTTGAAATTATCTCACCTGGTTGGCAGATTTTTCACTCTTGGAATGATATAATATATAAAATTATATAATAAATAAAATTATATATATATATATGATATATATATCATTTTGGATTGTATAGATTTTAAGACTGAATAACGTGAAAAGTAAAAGTGTGTTCCTGCACACACTTCAAAATAAATGACAGAAAAACACAGGTTTTCAGTGCATATGGGGCAGCTTTGTTTTGTTCTGCACACAGTGTAAAGGAGTCAGTTCATTTAGTCTGAGCTGTCATCTTGGCTGACCCGTGCGCAATAACGCAATTCACTGAAGGAAAATAAACCGAAGAGGAGAAGTGACCCTTTACGAGCTGCTCTCTGCTCCCCTCACTTACGAGGGGCTTTAGGGAGGGTCTGTGTGTCCGTGTGTGTGTGTGTCTGTGTGTGTGTGTGTGTGTGTGTGTGTGTGTGTGTGTTTGTATATGTGTATGGACCGGGGGTGTTTGGTTAGTTTGTTGTGGCTTCAGTCAGTGTATCGCTTGCAGGTGATGCCAGGACTAGATAAGAGGTCGCCGATCCCTGCTCGCTGTCTAGACCAGCTTGTGACGCAACCAGAGTAACTGGACTGAGCACAATTTGCAGCAGATTTTTGCCCCCAAGATAGTAAATGACCACTGGCCGAGTCCTGCAACTTTACCGGAGGGGAAAACACCGCGAGATTGAGGAGGGAGATAAGACAAGTCCTTCAGGCTTCAATTCAGGCAGACCAACTACATATAGCCTGAACAGGACAAACAACATATTCAGTGCAACTGAAACACCGACTTCTGTTTCACCGTTTTGTATTTTTTTTTAAACGCTGTTAATCTACCATCGTCTCCAGCCCCGGAAGCTCTCTGCACGTTTCCGAAATCAGAGATCATAGGAACTGCTTCTAATTTCAGCGCTAAATTTTCAAATAAATCCAATTATTATTATAATATCCAATTATATTATTATATAAAATATTTAAAAAGCGAAAGTGGATCGGTATGTTAAAAACAAACTGCGCCTGTGGAAGACACTTTATGTATTCAGCTTTTTTATTTTTTTATCAGTTAATAATCCCTTTACGAATCGCTTTCCTAACAATAAATAATATAACAATAATTTACTTTTTGTTCGAGAAGCTCAAACAACCTGTATCCTGCCCTTAACAGAAAGTATTTTTACAACACGAATAGTTTGCAGATTATCATGCTCTGGCCTTAAGACAAAGAGTCAACTGGACTCGACAACGCAATGAACGTATCAAAAGATTCTCAGGTTGGAGAAACAAAGACACAATATGATCACAATGAAACTGCAGTGTCCGTCTGTTTTTCGACGTGGAAATGTTTCCAAGTTTGTGTTTCTGTTGGAAGGTTTTGTTGTAGTATATCCATCAGGAGGTCTTCTGTACATCTTCAGTCTCCGTATCAAGTCATGCAACAATTGTTCTGCTTAGTTTTTGTCAATGAAATCTCCAACAGAAAAAAAAAAGAAAACTCGGAGTCAGTCGGTGCTTTCTTTGTTCCATCTCCGCCATGTCAGGGAATTAAAAAAAAAAAAAAGAAAAGAAAGAAAAAAAAACACTCCTCTCTCTGAAGTTTTGGGCGATGTGATGAGCTGGTCTCATGCAGGGGGAGGGGGGGATCATGCTGCAATCGTCCTTGCAGGAGCGCGGGAAGGGGTGTGTGTGTGTGTGTGTGGGTGGGTGGGGGCGGGGGGTCCGACAGATGTGCAGGGCCCGTTTCACGTCTCCACCGGGCTGGGTACCATACTGTTGGGGGTGTCCGGTAACTGAGAGGACAATGAAGTCACGTCGCTGCCCGAGGAGTTCCCGAGAGAGCCCGATTCAGAGAAAGACACCTGAAGAGAGGGCAGCGAAGTGTCAAAAGTATGCAGCATATTCAGACTTTTATTTTGAAAGCACGTGTGTAAAGGTATTATATTCAAGTGTTTTTTTTTTTATTGCTAGGGATGACACCATGTTACCATGCACGTGACTGCCAGTGTGTGTGTGTGTGTGTGTGTGTGTGTGTGTGTGTGTGTGTGTGAGAGAGAGAGAGAGAGAGAGAGAGAGAGAGTGTGCATGTACATATACATGCAATAAAATTCAAATTGCTCTTTGTGTCCATCTGTGTGCAGAACAATAGATAGATAGATAGATAGATAGATAGATAGATAGATAGATAGATAGATAGATAGATAGATAGATAGATAGATAGATAGATAGATAGATAGATAGATAGATGATAGATAAGCCTGTCATCATCATGTCTGTGTGTTTGCACTTCTAACTCAGTCTGTCCTGAACACACACACCAGTTGTTGGAAGGCTGGCTGGTCCAGGTCGCTCTGCAAGGCGAACTCACTCAGGGCCTTCCATGGAGGCTGGTAGGTCTGAACCTCCACTGGGTTTCCCTGCACGGTGCTCTCATGTCGGATAGGACTTCCAGCCACAAGAGGCGTCCCTGTGAGGCCCTGCAGGTTCTGATGAAATAAAATCGAAACGCAACATAAACATTATTTATCTCTGTTTTGCAAGAAGGCATCTGTTACTAAACTTTCACTTTTGAAAGAACTGAAAAAGAATGGCTGGTGTGTTTTAATAATAGGATATACACATGTTTTCGTTTTCACATTCTATTTTTGATAAATGCTAAATTTGTAACAATTGACACAGAGTTCCTTTTTGGGGTTTGGCAAAGATTGATCTAAGCAAGAAATGTTTTGAGCCTGTTTGCAGAGGATGTTTTTATCTTTCAGGTCAAGCAACTGAAGCCAAAGCAGTTGATTCATTATTCATTGACTTAAAGTTTGAATACAGAGCAGCACTAGAGTCAGATGGAAAGGTTGTGCTGTGTTTCAGTTTAAGTAGAATAAAAGGTTCAGAAAAGAGTCAAATTATAGGGTGAGTCATAGTGGTTTACATTAGTGGACTATAACCTGCAACTACTGATAAGCACAGGGCAAACAACCATGTAAACAAAGCATTATGATACTGTATATTCATTAAAGAACATCATTAAGATACAAGGTTATGTTCAAATGGTTTGTATCTGTTTTCCATTTTGTTCTAAACTCTGCATTTGATTGATTCCAGCCTCAAACTGTGTTAAGTGAGTCCACATGAAGACTGATCATAATTTTAAATAAGTCCTATAACAAATAAGTAAATGCATGAATAAATAAAAAAGAATCGTTGATAGTAATCAAGTGGTCAAACTTACGAAGATGCTTACAGTCTTATCACTGTGCTGCTGCTGCTGGAGCTGCTTCATGAGGATTGATTTCTTTTTGTCTTTGCAGCGCTTGTTCTGGAACCAGACCCGGATCACCCTGGGGCTGAGGCCGGTCATTTCCACCAGCTGCTCCTTCATCAGCGCGTCCGGCCTCGGGTTGGCGTTGTAGCAGGTCCGCAACGTGTGGAGCTGCTTCTCGTTCAGCACCGTCCTGACCCGCGTCGTCTTCTCCGACTGCTTGTGGACGTGGTTCCGATGCGGGGCCTGCCGCACCGTGACCGGGTCTGCTGAGGACGGAGGACGGAAGAAGGTCTGTCACAAAATGTCTCACAGCAGGGAGGCCTCAGAAAAGCCGTTTTCAATTTTGATACTAGTTTTTTTTTTCAGCCAATTAATCTCAGTCTGAACTGTTTTGTCCTCTTGGATTGTTTTGTTTTATGCAGGAAAGCCCCAATAACATCCAACAGTGTGACAGGAAATTAAATGTCTGCTGTAGCTGAAATCACAGACTCAGGACAATAGTAATGAAATCTTTAAACAGAAACAACTCAGTATTTTTGGAAAGCTGTCTTTACATGACAACAACCTCTTTTGATTTGATTATTGCATCTTCTTGCTTGAAAGAAAAAATAATTTCTGGTCTATAATAGAGTTGTTTACCTAATTTTAGTTGCCCTATTATTAAATGTTTTTAAGTCTGCACTGCAAATTTAACCGCTCACCACTTGCATTGATGTCAGCCTATAATTTTTTTCTCACAAAATCTATAATCTGCAGTCAGTTAAACCTGAAAAGACCTGCTGGAATATGAAATCCTGTTGGTGTCACTGTCCCAGGCCTCTCTATGAGTTATTTTCAAATGATCGCTTTAAGCAGGAAGTTGTTGAATATTATTCACACATTTGCTTCGTTCGCTTTCTCTTGGCAGGCGCCCGCTAGATGACAACTCCACACACACACACACACACACACACACACACACACACACACACACACACACACACAGGCACGCACACACACACGCACACACACACACTGCCATAGCCGCGACTCAAATACCAGATTATTCAGATAATGGCAACAGAGCAGGTTAGCGCTAATTGGATCAATTATGAAATTAGCCTAAAGAAAGGTCGCAGCACACACTTTACACACACACACACTAAGCCCGACCAAAAAGAAAATGATCAAGATGCCAAATCATAAAGAAAATATATTAATCCTTCATCTTATACTGATTTTTAATTTGGGCTATTTTGCTTTATTTTCTTTATTTTTCCTAAATTCATGATGTCAGATTTTTTTTTGCTACAACTAAGTTTTTATTAATTACTTGTCAAATATAAAAGAAAATGTGTTTAAATCTTTTTGCAGGGCACGTCTTTTATTTAGGATTAGGCCTCTATATTTAAATAGTAAGGATTTGTCATGTAGCCTAATAATAACAATAATAATAATAACAATAATAATAATAATAATGATCTGACCTGCCAGGTGCAGCGGTCTGTTGGAGTGGATGTGACCGGGGCTGATGGGACTTCCTGCGGAGCTCCTCTCCAGCAGCAGACTGTGGTCCGCCCGGCAGAGCAGCTCTTCTTCCCGCAAAGAGAACTCGTCTCCCGGCAGCAGCTGCCTGCTGCACACCGAGCACCGAAAACACTCGATGTGGTACACGTTATCCCGGGCTCTCATCACCAGGTCGCTGCTGCTGAATCCCAGGTTGCATTTTGCGCATTTTATTCCAAACAGCCTGGAAAATTAGAAGTTGTTTAGAGAATTAAAAATCAAGGGAGAAAATGTGAGAAATAACACAAGTCAGAGTTGTGAAGTGTAGTGTTCAAATGCTTATGTTGTTTGTTTTTTATTTGAATTGATAACAGTGTTTTGTTTTGTTTTTTGTACAATTGTAGGCTATATTAAACTGCAGTTGTGTGTTACATTTTGTATCTAAATTGGTATTTTTTTAAATGAGGTCTTGTCTAACTTTACATTTAAAATGACTAAACGTGATTCAGCCTATAATATAGCCTACATATTTCCAAGAACTCCTACCTTACATAATCTCTTTTACAATAGGTTTTTCCGTCCCGGACGAAACAAGTGCAGGTCTCATCCAGGTACTGGCTGCACTCTGCGCACTTCAGGCAGGCTGCGTGCCACTCCAGGTCGGGAGAGACTCTCAGTATGTACTGGTCATGGATCTGACTTCCACATCCTACACACATCGCGAATCCTGGCTTCTCTGCAAAGAGCCCACAGCATTTTAACCACACACTGAAAATGCAGCCAAATAAATTCAACCACTAACAAATGCAGCATTTGTTATTTTGTTTTTTGTTTTTCTTTAGATTTCAATGTGTGTCTCAGTTTTGCAGCGAACTCCTCTTTTTCTGCAGACTGGACAACTCTTGATGTTATGTAACAGATGGAGACTTTTGCCAGTGTTCGTAAAGCACAAACACTGAATTGTTTCATTTCTTTTCTTTTTTTTAAGTCTCCAAAACGGACAGCCTGAGAAATAACAGTTCGTAATACTGCATTATTAGAAAAAATGACGTTGGTAATCGGTGCACTGCTGAATATATCAAGTAGCCCATAAAGCCACTGCGATGAAAACACAATCTGCCACTTCAAACTCCGCCGAGCAGTTCCGCTTCTACTTACTTTTGGAATGATCCCCCATATCACCCAAGAAAGAAGAGCTGAAAATAATATCCACCATACAGGACGGATAGAGCGGACTGTGGTAGATGCAGAAAAGATGTGAGGAGATGACTGGCCCTCCGCTTGCCTCCCTGATAACTTGTGTCTCTCCGGACTAAAGGGGGGCGAGGAGGCTGCAGGGTCCCACGCGCTGCTCCTCTGACGTCATGACGTCCACAACGGACTCTCCAATCGCCCCACTGCATCCCTCTCAACCTGCAAAAAAAAGGAAAAAAATCCCCCCAAAAAATCTAGTGTGTAGCCTATTTATGGACAACAAAAGCCAAAGAATGCAGATATTTATATTTAGTGTTTTCTAACAAAGATTTAAAGCAAGAAAAAAATAATGTTTTAAAACAACAGCATCGAATCATCAGTTTTTAAGATGCAGATAAGTTTCATGAACATCATGATCACCATCGTTATATTTAAAAATGTGGCAAAGCTTCTTCATCGGAAAATATTTACCACCAATGAATTCCAAATTTGTTTGGTTAAACTAGCCAATAGGTTCCATTTCTTAATCACACAGGAAGGCAATAACTGATTATTGATATATAGCCTACTGTTAGGATATTATTTGGTACATATTACAAATGATGTGCATCGTTAACCTGTCCTGCAGACACTCATACAGGCCTTTTTTTGGTCTAACTGCTTTCAATATTTCGTCCAATTCATTTTTATATTTCATTTTATATCCTCACTATCTCTTGGTAAAACACCAAAATCATTCCCCATGTCATGATGGGAGAACTGAATTTCTTGAGGACCACAGAGTTGTGTTGTTGGTCTTTGATATAGAAGCAAGAACAACACAGATTACTGCCTTGATAACTTAATTTTTTCCTCTTTTTTTATGTAAAACAAAATGACAAATTCTTGCTGTAGCCTTATTTGTTTTTGGACATAAATTCAGCAGATCTGAAGACAGTGGGAAAGATTCTCTGCTGTGTCCGGTCTGTTCATCTACTCGAGAACGAGGCCATCTACTGGAGTAAAAGCAGAACTGCATTAATTAGAGAGCGGGGGAGGGGGTAATGCTGAATTTATTGAACTGATATTCATTCAGTCTACGCATCTATCTGTGTACCTATGTATGGAACATGAGCTTAAGATAAAGTTCTGGTCATAATTAATTTATATATTTACTCACAGGTCGACAGGCATATTAAAGACACCAGCTACAAACAACCAAATAATTATCTCAAAAACATTTCAGCTTTTTGCTTTTTATATTTAGACTCTTTTTTTTTGTTCCAAAACAGATGAAAGTAAAACTGATAGCTATGTCAAAATTAAGTATTCCCAGAAATCTATATTCCACACTATTGAAAAAGGACACTGTTAAAAAAAAAAAAAATGTATCAGTAGTAGCTTATCAATGTTTTTTTATCTTCTAGTACTAAGAGTATTGAAAAGAACATACACTACACTGCAAACAGCTGTGCAATACATTTTAATGCTGTGTCTCTGTACAGATACATTTTCATTCACTCTCTTCCCCCTTCATCCTGTAGAGCAGCGTTTGTTAATCCAACAAAAGCAAGGGAGAAGAAAAATTGTGGACAAAATTCAGACTAATAGAATTCCACAATCGATAGGCTATATTACCCTCGATGAGGCGATGACTTTTGTTTTGAGAGACACATATCAGATGTGCTCCCCCTGCTAGGTAAACTAAGTCCTAACAACTTCAGCTTGTTCAGGGGGGTGACCTGGCAGCCATGTGCATGTGCATCATTGTGTTAGAGCAGAAGTCTGGGAAAGGTGAGTTGAGATGTGTAACTCTAATGGAAGTCATTGTTGTGTCTGTTAATGTTGTGATTTTGCTGCAGGAATGAGGTGAGGTTCATCACCAGCATGGCTGCATTAAATCACGGTTAAATTAGGACATAAATTTGGGGATTTAATCCCTGGGCTCTGTCTTTCAGGTGAGTTGAGGTGGAAAATATGGCAAATGTATTGAAAATAGCCAGTCCTTCTATGGTTTTCATTAATTGCAAAATCCCTGCATTACTGCCAGAAGGCCTACATAATAACTCATTCCTTTAGTCGGCCACCTGCCACTAGTGTAGCGAATAAATATAAAACAAAACTCTCTTTAATTAATCCACATCTCAGTTAATTTAATGTGCTTATTGACAATGTCCCTGACAAAAGAATGGCCACAGACCTCAGTGTAGGTTGGTTCCTGTCATGCCAATTTGCCCAAGCACTGGAAGTTGCATGATGTCACAGTATTTAGTAGAAGGTATTATTATTCTTGCTTTGTGTTGTTTTTTTTTTTAATATACTTTGTTTGAAATGTTCTTTACAGGCCTTGCTTGTGGGAGAGCACAACAACAACAAGCTGACCCCTGTTACACTGGATTGCATCACTGCTGCAGGCAAGGTGGGAAGAGAAGGACTCAATCACGCCTGATCACCGGCACCATGTGTAAAGGTGGGCCTGCTGTCTTTCAATAAGACCTAAAACTAACAGTAGGAATACAAGGACTACCTGCAGCTGTCTGCCCAAATTGGTCCATGCTCATTCAAGGGCACTGGTGATTTACAAAGAGTCACTTGGTGTACATCCTGTGTCTCCTGTATATAATTCAAGAGTTCATGAGCACAAAGTGATGCTTGCTATTATTAAATCACAGCTGACATGTAGGTAGTGAGTTCAGTTAGGATGCATGAGCTGCATCACTGCGCTTAGGTCAAAAGGTTTGAGAAGATACGAGTGGCACAATATGATTTATATCAAGGCCTTCAGCTAGATAATTTATGTGTTCGTCTACGCTGTTTTTTACTGTCAGAGAAGAATTATGATTAATGAATTAGAAATCCACAACTGTCAGGTACAAAAAAAAAGTGAGAGGTGATATATTATATATATATATATATATAATATATATATAAATAGTATATAGAAATTTAACATTGCAATTAATTAGGGAGATAAATTAGCTGAAATTTAAATTTTTACCAAAAAGATGTGTATAAATGACAAAAAAGTCAAATTTTTTCATCTGAGAATTATTTTAAAAATCAGTAGTTGAAAATAAAAGTCGATCGTCCTGTTCGATAGCAGTATTTTCTCCCTCCATATGTGCAGCTCAGATGCTGTCCCAGTCATGCTGAGAACCCTTGACCACTCCACTGTGCAAAAGGCATTCCCTGCAGCCCAACGACAAGGTCCCACACAACACACCTCTTTCATTTTAATTACACCAAGACAGTTAATAAACACACTGGCACAACTTCAACTGAATCCAGCCTGGGGAGTCTGAAGGGATGGCCACTGTAAATTACTTATAGGTCTGACAATAGAGGCAAAGTGCCATAGAACCCTTAAACATTCAAGAGAAAACGAGTCACTGTGAAAAGTTCAGTAACGCAGGCCAGGAAAGCCACCCCTGAATCCCAAACAAGAACATTTGGCTCTTGCCAAAGTTTAAGTGGATGATTTCAGTCACACATATATATTGCATGAGGTTAATGGGCCCCATCAAATTGTGATTAGCGATTCTTCTGGGAGGCTTTTATGCCGGAGTGATGTCTGGGTTAGGTCTAACAGTCATTAACAGGTCGCAGACAATGATGCCTGCATACGATATTTCATTGATTATTGAATGTATATGAAACTATCGTAAACCCAACCTTTGACCTGCAGCATTAGCCAAACAGTGCACTCAGTTATAATAATTAACTTTATATATTTTATCTTCTGCACAGGCTACACATGCTCTATAGGCCCCAGCGTCATTTCTTTACATTGTTTATGCTATTTACTGCAGTTATCAGACACTCACCAGCATCCATGATCCTAACAAGAGTGTCCTGGGATTTGACGTCAGTGATGTCTGAAACAGTAGCCACATCCATCTTATCAGACATTCTGTGGAGGAAGTTGTTTAAAAGGGAGTCACAACATTTTTAGGATTATAAAGCGATCACAGATCTTTAAAAAGTAAAAGAAAATATATATATCTGCAACATATTTTTACTATATTCAGGCTACATTAACAATAAGAAGTGAAAGTGGCTTGAATATGACACTCTGAAAAACATCATATCTATATCACATTTTAAACTGACTGATGCTGGTGAGTAAGTCACATTGAATTAACTGTAACGCACTTTATATAGAGTAAGGTCTAGCCTAGAAAAAAGATCAATATGAACTCCATTGAAATACCTACGTTTTAGTTAATGCATCCTAATTCAATTGAAATACCATTAGCTCTGCGAGCTGACAGTTCTATTCAGCGATCCTAGTTTACAAAATGAGGTAACTTATTAAAAACAAAAGAAGAAAAACTTGTGGATGCATTAGAACATTGAGACATAAATGTTGAACTTGCAAAATCCAGTAGGAATGATACAATATCTGATTTTTGGATGCCCAAACACTTCACTATATAGATTACAGAGAACTATGTTACTGCAATTTGCTTCATTTGAGTTTGGTTGTAAGTGCTGGTTAACTTTCATTTATAAACTTGTGATGTATATTAAGACTTTCAATATTTAGAACTGTATTTACAGCATTAAATGTGATTTTTCTACTGATAATAATGAGACAGGATTAGACTAATTTAACTCTTGCAAAACTGAAAGGTCTTTATCACTGTGACATTAAAAAAAGTAACGTTTTGCACGTGCAGTTTGGTGTATATTTGTACCTGAAGTAGCAACAACAGGACTACATGCAGTTTTAGTGCATATGGTCTCAGAAGGAATCAAACCCTTAATTCAGCTGACCTTTATGTTTTTGTGTTACATAATTCAGGACAAGCTTCTTCTTGCACATGTGTGCACATTTGTGCGTGAATTGATGTGTGTATGTGTGTGTGTGTGTGTGTGTGTGTGTGTGTGTGTGTGTGTGTGTGTGTGTGTGTGTGTGCCAGATGGCGGAGACTGCTTACATTACAGCTTTGTTTGTTTGTCTTTCATCAAGGAATCCATAAATATCATATAGTGTATTAATTTTAAAGACAGAATAACTAATAAGATCAAACTTTGAGCTGA